TTTCTGTCTCTCCAGCAAGTGCACACGCCCTATTGCAAAAATCTCTCTAAAGAAAAAACAAAAACAAAAACAGGACAGCTGGATCTAACTGAAACAGCAGCAGAACCCAGAGTCTTTCATATCGTAAGAGCTTATTAAAAAGGGGCCAGCAGGTGGCGTGATGGTTAAGGTGCTAGACTTTCACATGGCTCACCGTGACTTGATTCCTAGAACTGGCAGCTTGCTTTCTCACTTTCCCTCTCTGTCTGTCTTTCTCTGGTGAGCACATGTGCACAACTGAAAAAATTATTATAATAAATAAAATTAAATATTTTTTTAAAAAACTAAATAATACTTGTAAAAATTGAAATTATTTTTAAAAACTAAGATATGCATTTCATAAAAAGGTTTATTTTTATGTGCTCAGTGAGAATCTTTGGACCAACCAGTGGCATGGTGGTTAAGGTAGCAGGATCTCATATGGCCACTGGACCATCAGCTTGAAATACATGCCAGGCACATACTTCCTCTCTGAAAGGAGGAAAAGATGGAGGAGACGGGATTGCAGTGTGACCATCTCCTATGAGGGAGAGGGGTGCTTTCTCACTTTCTCTCTCTCTCTCTGGCAAGTGTATGTGCCCTCTGGAAAATTAAAAAATAAAATAAAATAAAACAATACAACACAAAAAAGGATCTTCTAAGAGGGAAGGCACCTCCCCTCCTGAAATGCAGTGTTTCCCTGGACTGTCTTTATACACCTGCACTGCAAAATAGGCAAGGGTCACTAATACATTTTTTCTAGGGGTTCCCTTATTTGAGTGGTTAGTTGAGCATGGCCTTTGTAGAACTGGGGAAACTTGAAGCTGAGAGCTTTAACACAGTTCTTTAGAGAGCTTGTGACCAGTAGGCTCCATCAGGTCTGGAGATCAACTGGCATTTGCCTCTCAAAATAGTGATTTGTACAGAATTTAGCCAAAATTCAAATTTGCAGATGTTTAAAAATTGGGAAACTTACATAAAAATCTGGATTTCACATTCTTCTTTCAAAATGGGAAGATAGCCAAGCAACCTTGTTTGGCTACCCACCAACGACCAGCTGGAACTGAACTGCATGATTGCATTGAGAACAGTGTGTAACTAAGATAATGTGAGTCACTGTAATGCCCAGCCTTTTGGGTTTCAGGGACATAGCCTCGAAGAGGTTGATTTCTCACTTACGCAGAGCCCCTCTAGTGTGGGGGACTCAGAGACCTCAGGCCCCTTCCTTGTGTGTCTCTGCCATCCCCTAGGGCCTTGGAGTCTTCTGTTTTCAGCCCACAGAATGGGGGGAAAAGTGGAGAAGCACATTGGTTTTCAACCATCTTGGTGTGAAAGTGACACACATCTTCTTGGCTCACAGTCCACTGGGGAGCTACATAGAGCAGGAACCTACTTGAGCAGCCACTTTCTGGTAATGACCATGGGTGATGGAGCACGAATGTGTGGTGGACACATGTGATCCTGTGACAAGCAGGTGTGTGTGCTCAATTCGCCACCGTCCTCACAACTGCCCCGAGTACTCCCAGGAGCCCTAAGACGCATTTGAGTTTGTGGCCCTGGCCTAATGTGTTTGCGGATAGAGCTTGAGGAAGCCATATGGAAAGAGATAGATTTTCCTAGAATGAAGAAAGGAAGGGAACCAGCAGTTAGTGTAATGGCTATGTCGCTGGACTCCTACGTAGTCAACCGCGGTTCGCGTCCCAGACCTGGTGGCTTAAAACTCACGCTGGGCACGTGTGCATGCGTGCCCAAGATCCTGAGAGGAGAATGGAGGAGAAGGGATTGTGGTGTGACCATCCCTCCTGGAGGGTGATTTCTTGCTTTCTGTCTCTATGTCTCTCTCTGTCTGGTGAGCGCACGCGCCCTATAGCGAAAAACCTCTCCAAAAAACAAAAAAAGAAAGAAAGGAATTCCTCTGGGCTGGATGAAAGAGAGAAACAGAGGTCATTGTGTCCTGGGGCAGTGGGTATGTGTGACCTGTTGCCTGAAATATCATCTTGGGAACTGCAGGACCCCAGGGAGGCTGCATGGCATGTCTTGGCAGATGGGACAATAACCAACTCTACCTTACCCCAATTCCTATGCTTCTTGTGGGACACAGAAATAGGGAGCTAATGAGACCAGCTCTGTGGCCTGGTGGTTAAGGAGATGGGATCCCACACGGCTTATGGTGTGACTTAAGTTCTAGAACTGGCAGCTCAAGAAACATGCCAGAGACGTGCGTGTCTGCCCAAACTCCCCAAAACAGAAAGTAATGGAGGAGAAGGTATTGTGGCGTGACCATGACCCACGGCGGTTGTTTTCTCCATCCCTCTCTCTCTGTATCTCTCTGGAGCACACACGCTTTCTAGCATGTGCACGTAAACACACACACACAAGTAGTAGAAAGCTAATGAACTGAAGTAGACACAGAAACCTGGACAGTGTGGACAATTTGGCCATATTTTCTGAGGACACAGGATCGAACAGACGTGTGTATACTCCTCTCTCCACCCTATAGAGAAAGAAGTTCTTTTGGAGTCTGGAATTTCATCATGTTTTCTAATACGAATTTTGCATTCGCCACCCCATAGGACTGTATAAACCCCTGTGGTTAGAAACTCCAGGGAGGACAAAAGCTCTTTCTTGCCCAGTAGATTAACTGCTAGGAGCTTAAAACTAAGTTTTATAAAAAATTATTATTATTGTTTTAATGATTAAGATTATATGCATATGCAGGAGAAAGGGGAAGAGAAGCATCCTCCATGGGGTTCTGACATGCTGGGATCCCCTTTCCCTTCTCCTCCAGCCCTTCAGAATCCTGTGCTCTGCATTATCCGCTGGATTTCCTGCCCAGCAGAACACCCGGTTACCACTGCACCACAGACTGGACCCAAAACCAAATTACTGGCTATATGAGAGTGGAATTCTTGCATGCCTGAGTTTATGGGCTGAGATTCATACTTGATTCAATTTTGCAATTTTCTCCTTGAAGGTGCCGAGCAAGGCAATGACCTTGTTCATTTCAGCATTTTCTAGAAACTGCCTCTAGTTCCCAGGCCCAAAGCCACACATATCTTCCCAGCCCCCTCCTGCTCATGCATTCCCCCCAGAAAACGAACAGAAGTCAAAACTCTGTCAGAACACAAGCCTTCTCAAACAGGGTTAGTCGCACTGTGCATACATATTCCCCACACATCAATTTTACTCAAAGGCTTTCATTTTCATATGAAAAGAAACTGGAAATAGAATGCAAAATTCGTATTAGAAAACATGATGAAATTCCAGACTCCAAAAGAACTTCTTTCTCTCAGGAAAGGGGGCCTCACGTTTTCAGAATCCCATAGGAATCCGCTGGAGTGCTTTTCAGAAGGACATTTCTGTGGAAAAGTTCGAGCAGCCTGGCTCTGTGCCTGGTCCTGGCCTAGAGCCGCCTTCCTCTGGCTTGGGCTGCAGCTCTCGGTGGGTTTCACTTTCGCGTTATTGTTAATATCTCCTCACGTTTCTAAACTCACAGCTTGTCAGCGCTGGCGCAACCTGAGAGCGTCGCCAGGTTCCAGCTCACTGGTTTTACAAAAGAAGAAACGGAGAACCAGAGACTTTTTAAAGGATTTGCGGGTTGAGGGGTGTTGAGGGGACATCCAGGTCACCCAGGCTACAGTGCTCCTTTAAGAACCATGGTCATCATGCCATCCTGCAGGTTCTCGGGGTCCATGTGCAAACAGTATGAGCACCGCATCCGCTATCACTCCGGCCCATCTTCGCCCTGCGCTTCCATCGTTTTTTGCTCTTTTTGATTCCCTATCTCTCACCCTCTGCCATCTCCCATCCTCCTCCCACACTGTCTCTGGTATCAATGGTTGCTTTTTATTCCCCCCCCGCCCCCATTTTACTGATTCGCTAAAGATCTTAATTAACCTAAATATTTTGAATAGCAAACACAGCTGATATATACATATCCATGAACACAGTCTGAATAGGCATAAACCTCAGTGAGTAGAATGAACATACTATGAAGTAGCACCTAGCTGGGGCTATATAGCTTACTGCACTTCCATCTTTGGGAAGTGTCTCGATTGGAGTATCTGGCGGTTCGTGGGGATTTTTCAAAAAGTTTGGTATATTAATGACTGCTATTCGAGAACAAATGTGTGCATCAGAATCCTGCCCCGGGGCTGGTGGCAGTGTGGGAGGGGCGACTGATTTGATCGACATCTCTGGGTCTGGCCAAAAAAGGGGCTGGGGTCAGGGCTGGAGGGCTGGAACGGGCCTAATGGAAGGTTCAAAGACCCAAACGTGGGTTGGCACAGGCAACCTCTTCCCGCCGCTCACAAGTCTCTGGCAGGCGCACAGACAGACTGGCTGGATGGTGCAATCTCCTCCCGGCCTTGCAATGATCGAAACGAGCTTGGAATAGCAAACACGAGGAGGAGAGACCGCTCAGGGGCTCTGGCTGGAAGCGCGGCCAATAGCGAAGCGAGCTCCTTCGCGCGAACCAATCAGTGGAGGGTCTGTGACAACGCGGGCCAATGGGGCGCCGGCTCTCAGTGTTGGAAGAAGACAGGGGGCCCGGCCGCCGCAGAATCGCGCAGCCGCAGTCCCGAGACTCTCGCATTCCTCGCGATCGGGGCTCCTCGGCTGACTAGCTACCTAACCGTCGCACCATGGACACCCCGAGGCAGGTGGTCAACTTCGGGCCCGGGCCTGCCAAACTGCCACGCTCGGTAAGTCCCCACCAGCGCGCACCAGTAGTGCGGACCGAGCAGGAACACGCGTGCGGCGGATGTGCATCCCTGCGCGGGGCATTTAGATTTTCGCTCCCAGCCGCGAGTCACCGAGGCGGTTTGCACCATCTGCACGCCCGGTGCAGAAGCTCTCGAAAACGGGCTTCTGGAAGAATGCAGTTGGTGAAGGGAGCTCGGCGAGGCATGCCTGTGCAGTGCCCCTGGTGCTGACTGCCGGAGGCGTGTACAACTTGGCGGGCTGGGACGTGCTGTCCCGGTGGTGCAGCGCACCTGCAGGCTCTGGGCTGTGCCCTCTTCTGGCCTGTGCCCTCTTCTGGCCTGGTCAGGGCGGGTAGTCGCGGGGTGGCGGGAGAGAAAACGCTCGCGTCTCTGAGTTCACCTTGCCCAGCAGTACCGCGAGCCTGGGCCATGTGGAGCGGATGCATTAATGGACACACAGTGTGCGTGAATGATGAATGGGCATAAATGAACGGTAGGCTTTGCATACCGCGGTGGGTCAAGTTAACCGTAGGGAATTGGGATTGCAAACTGATGGCCTGCGTGTGCCCCCACCTCAGTGTTTCGTTTAGCCAGCACTTAGGAACTCTGCTTTTTCAGAAATGTCAATTCTAAAGACTTCAGTTTAGCTTTTCTCTCTTGTGCCGAAGAACCCACACTTCCCTGAGGTCTTCCCCTCACCGCGCCCCACCTCCCCTTTTTTAACCTGCTGGTCCCCTAAAGGTCTTGCAGTATTCAACCTCCAGTAGGCAGTGGGATGAGTAGCCCAGTTCTGTTCACTTCGCTCTCCCGCAAACGGAATGATTGAATTCTAGTGCAAGTGCAAGCGGAACTCACTTTGCCGTCCCAGCCCCGAGATAGGCTCAGGCTTCTCCCCCAAACCCGATAGCCAGCCCTCCCCACCCCCTCACTTCCCCCAGTCAGACCAGCTGTGAGGAAGGCAGTCTCTAATGTGCTTTGAACTCGTGGACAACGCGCCACCTGCTGCTGTTAGATTTTTGTTTTTCTAACCAGGGTAAAGCCGATAATATGTTGTAGCAGCACGGGCATGGCCAAGTAATTTACAATTGTCTATTGTTGATCAGAGTAGGAACTCCCGGGACAGAGCCTTCCCTGTTGTAGTAAGAACAGTGAATCTTAGAATTTTAGAAAGGAAAGGACATCTTGCTTTTCTGGGGGCAGTGCTCAGTAGCTGAGAAAACAGGCCTTATGTTTTTTTCATGATAGTCCCTTTTAGGTGAGATTGCCACTGGAGCTGTGGAAGGGTTTCCTGTAGCCTTCCCCTTTCAGGTCTTGCAGTCTTTGGAGTATTTGTTCCCTGTGTAATTTGATACGACTTTATTATTAATGGCTTACTGAGGGTTGTCATCAGGAGCATGATGGTTATTTATTTTCTTGGTAGGATTTTTGCCCTGGAATGTTCTGTTAGCTGCAGGGGGCTCTGTAAGCTGATTTATTATAGTTGAGTTGTAAGGGTTTAGAGAAGCTTTGGGCCAGCAGGTGGTGTGGTGGTTAAGGTGCTGGATTCCACATGGCTGACTCCATGGTTCAAATCCTGGACCTGATGGCTTGAAAATCACACTGGACACATGTGTGTGCCCAAAATCCCAAGAGGAGAATGGAGGAGAAGACCATCCTCCTGGGGGTGGCGATTTCTCACTTTCCCTCTCTCTGTCTCTCTGTCTCTCTCAGAGGAGCACACGTGCCCTATAGCAAAAACCTAAAAAAAAAAAAAAAAAATTAGAGAGGCCTTCAAAGTTTTTCGGGGGCCATAACCTACCATTAATAATAAATTTATTTTCCCATAATAATGATGTGTACACATGTAATTATAAATAAAACCTTATGAAATATTTAGTCTAATTACCTGTGACATACCCTACTTTGTATTCTATTATGCTCTAGCTTTTTCTATTTCATTTAAAAAATTAGTCGTGGGCCCAGTTGTTGGCATAGGCAGTAAGGTGCCCCTGTATGGTTCAGGAGCCATGATTTACGGGAAGGCCCTGGTTTAGATCCCAGGTTGACCTGAATACTCTGGGCACATGTGATCCTGGAGAGCTGAAAATAGTGGGTTGCAATGTGGTGAAACCTTACTGGGGTACCGCCCCACCCACTCTCAAGAAAGACAAAAAAAATAAATAAATAAAAATAAAAATTAGGGACCAGCCTGTGGTGTGGTGGTTAAGGCAGCTGGATCCCACATTGTCAAATGGGTGGTAGAGTCCTGGACCCATCAGCTTGAGAAATACACCAGGCACATGTGCGTGCATGCCCGACATTCCCCGGGGAGAGAAATGGAGAAGAGACTGTGGTATGACCATTCCCCATGGGGGGGGGGGCTTTCTTATTCTCTCTCTCCCTCCCTCCCTCTTTGGCAAGCACACATGCCCTCTGGCAAAATTAGGAAAATACCAAAAAGCTTAACCCCTCAAAAGAAACAAACAAAAGTTAGTTGAAACCCACAAAAGTGATTACATTTTCTAGTTTGAAGCAAAACCCACTGGATTAGGGGACTGTGATCTTTGGGTAGAAGTTGTTAAAACTCTTTGTAATGATCTTGATTATGAACTTTTATACTGATAGATGTGTTTCCAAGGGAATAGTGTGTGTAACAAAATCTTTTTAAAAAATTTTACCAGAGGGCACATGCACTTGTCAGGGAAGGGAAAAAGCACCCCCTAATGGACGCAGTCATGCTGCAGTCCCGTCTCCATTTCTCTGTCTGGTCAGGAGTTTGGACACATATGTACATTCTCACTGTTTTTCAAGCAGCCAGGGTGGGAGTTCAAACCATATGGTCAGCCATGTGGGACCCCACAGCCTTAATCACCACTACTGAGCCAGCCCGACAAGTTCAGAGATGATCTGTCCCAGATGAATGTTTCTGCTTGCTCAACAAAAGGAGTCACAATGGTTTTTTTTGGTCAACTAATGATATTAAGCATCCAACAGTTTAAAAAAACATTAAATTTTTTTTCTTGATTCATAAGAGTGCATGCGGGTGCACATGAGAGAGAGAGATAGACACCCCAGACAGGGTCAGGGTGTGGGCATGCCTCGCCACTCTGCTAGCCCTTTCATCCATCACGTTTTGGTTCTTGCGTGCATGCCCAGTGTGCTTTGGGCTGACTGGACTGGGGATTTAGATTTGGGATTTGAAAGGTGGTTGCTTGTGGGGATCCCACTGCTGCTTTTTTTGTTTGTTCGTTTGTTTTAGATTTTTGCTATAGAACATGTGCATTCGATAGAAAGGCAGAGGGAAAGTGAGAAATCACCCCCAGGGAAATGGTCACGTTGCCATCCCTTCTTAATTTTCCTGTTAGGATTTTGGGCGCACATGCACACACACCTTGCGTGAGTTTCAAGCTGTTGCATCCAGGACTTGACCTGTGGTTGGCTGCGTGGGAGTCCAACACCGTAACCACTATGCCACCTGCTGCCTCCCCCACACCACCTGAGCAGTGCATTATTGCTATGCTGTGGGACTGGCCCACAGTGGCACGTCTTGAAGTGTTGTTGAGGCAGACATTTTATCTAATTCTTTATTGTTAACATCATTTTTTCAGACAAGTTGCAGGTTAGGTATGTTTTAATGATGTCCTCCTTTGTTGGTGTCTTGTAAAGACCCTGTTCCTCGTTGGTAGACCTTCTCTGGCTACAGGCTTCGATAGAGGGCCTTCGGTGCTTATTTTGTGTTTACTTTTGGAGCTTTTCTGTCTCTCTTTAGTTTTTATTACAGAATGCCTCACACACAATGATGGAATAGTGTAATGAACCTCTACAGACCATCTCTGGGACTCAGCAATTGTGAACATTTTGCTAATCTCATTTCAGCACCATTGGATGGGTTTCTTTCTTTCTTTTTTTTTTTTGTGAGAGAGAGACAGAGACAGAGACAGAGATGGAGACAGCACTGCTGCAAGAGCACCCCCAACTCAAGCCAGCCCTGGATCGGGAACATCTTTGCACCGCGTATTTAGGGAGCCTTCTGGATGCGAACTTGGAATCTGCCTGGCATGAATCTTAACTCACAGCAGCCTTTTCATTCTTCCTCTACTCTCCCCAGTCTAGCACCCTAGGCCAAAGAAAAAAAAAAAAAAGGCTGAAAATTGAATTGTGCATAAAATATGAGCATGATTGATACTTTTAGCGTCATTCCCTGAACCCAGAACTTTATGTACTTTACTTTAGATTCAGAGTGGTGAGTGCGATTTGTGAAGGACGCATTTTCTAGGGAATTGGTAAATTCATTACTTTAGAAAAGTGTAACAGCATCAGTCCCCTTGCTTAATTCATGTTCAAGTTGTGTGTAAATTGAATTAGTGGCTGTGTGGGAAGAGGGAAGGAAGGGGATTGGCTGTGGGAGGGGACAGAAGCCTGGGGACACCTCTGTCTCCCCGATTTGTATACAGAGGGAACGTTGTGCTCAGCATATGGAAATCATCCTATTCTCTCTCTTTCTTTTTTCCCTAGGTGTTGTTAGAGATACAGAAAGAATTATTAGACTACAAAGGCATGGGCATTAGTGTTCTTGGTAAGACTTCGGGATTCTGTGAATGATCGGGTTGGAAAGGGAACTAATTTAAATTCATCAAGCCCAGAATGTCTGCAGGGTCTTCCTGTCGGCTTCTGTAGATACATTTTTAAACTGTAATAATTTGGGTTTTGTGTTTAATAGAAACCATTTTGGAAACAGCATAAATGTTGGCAGGAGCTTCAGACATCTCAGCTTGCCGGTGCATAATTGATTTTTGCTAATTACAGGCTCTGAGATCAGAAGATATGGCATGTTTGCCTAACAGTGCTCTCAAACATTTGTAATTTTCAGTTTACAGTTTTTGCTGTGCTTTGACTCACACTTATTAAAGCTGAAAAATTCATGAGCCTTTTATCAAGACCTTGCATATTGTAATTCCCCCCCCACCTGAATTTTTGCTATAGGATGTGCATACTTACCAGAGAGACAAAGAAAGAGAAAGTGAGAAATCACCCCCCAAGGGGGACAGCCATGCCATAATCTCTTCTCTTGGAATTTTGGGCATGCACACACATATATGTGCCATGAGTTTTAAGCTTCTGTGTCTGGGGCTTGAACTGTGGTTGGCCATGTGAGAGTCCAGCACCTTAACCACTATGCCATCCGCTGGCCCCTGCATATTGTATTTTATTAGGCTTTTCTCTTACCCCCATTTTGTTGGGGAAGAGGACCTTTGAGTTCTAAAATTTACTTTATTTCATTTTCTTTTCTTTTTTTATTGGCTGTTCCAATATGCATTGTGTTAAGAGATAGTAGGGTTAACTCTCTTGCTTATTTTTGTTACATCTTATTCTTGTGGGTTTGGGGCAGACACTTGGATGTCTGTGAAGTGACATCATAGCGTGGGGTTTTGTAGTCTTGTCCTAAAGGGCAACCATTGCCAGCGGACTCCTGTTTGTGAGAGACACAGAGAACCTGATGACGAGTTAATGAATAGCTTGCTCAGTGAACAAGCCACTTGAAAAATCATTCTGCTGTGACCCTAAGACTAAAACGTTTGCAATTTGCAATTCAACTTGGATCGGTCCCTAAATTAAGTGAGCCTTGACCAGCAACTTAATGCAGCATAACAAAACTTTTCTTTAGTACTTACTTGCACATTTTCATGTTATTTCCATTCATTTGGTTTTGAACTAGAGCTTTTTGTTGTTTATCTTTTCTTCCACAGAAATGAGTCACAGGTCATCAGATTTTGCCAAGATCATTAACAACACAGAGAATCTTGTGCGAGAATTACTGTAAGTGTGTGTGGGGGGGAGACCTAATGATGTTGCTTTTGTAATAAGCTTAGTCTGTAAATTTGGGTTTCTGTTATGTTATTTTCTGTACTCCACTGTTTGTTCAGAATATTTCTTTTCTTTTTTTAAGTAATTATTTTATTTAACATTATTTATTTATTTACTTATTTTTTAATTTGACCAGAGAGGGATAGAGTGAGAGAAAGTGAGAAAGTAAGACACCAGATCTGGGACTCGAACCTCAGTCCGCCACATGGGAGTCCAGCGCCCTTAGCTACCACACTACCTGCCAGCCCCCAGAATATTTCATAATTAAGACTAATCTTTTTAAGATTCTTCTAAACTCACTATTAGCTCATAATACTTTTTTATTGTTCTCTGTGTTTGTGTTTTTATTTTGTGTGGTGTTTCAAAAGACGTGAAATCCTCATGACTAGGAAAGACTTTAGCACTGTGGCAGTTAAACTGGCCCGAAAGGGATTTAAGGGGCAAAGAAATAGGCATCTTTGTCAGCATAATGAACTATCATCTAGTGTAGAGATTCTTAAGATATGAGCCTCATACTACCCATCACAGTCCCTCAGTTGGGGGAGAATATTAAGAAATTCAGGAGTGCAGAGGGGGAGTGCAGTGGGAATGCAGTGGTCGGCAATGCTGACCTCCACGGGAAGGTTCTGGGTTTGTGTCCAGAGATCTCACTAAACGTGCTGGGCGTATGTGTGCCCGTGACTCAGGATGGCTGTGGTAGGGGTGCCTGTCTCTCTCACTCTTGTTTCTTGCTCGTAGGAGAAAGAAACGTTAAAAATGCCTTTTTTCCCATGAGGAAGAGCACATGTACATGCCAGGTACCCTTGACAGGGTCTGTCACTCTGGGACCCCTCCCCCCAGCCCTCCAGCCAGTGGACGGCATGTCCCAGGGTGTGTCCCTGTGTCTTTCTGGTTGACTCTGAAGGCACGCCCATGCGGCCCACGTGACCGCCAGCACCGCTGATCTGTGACCTCAACCTGAGCTACTGGTGCCAGACCGGGAACTTGGTAAAAGAAGAAGTTCAAGTGCTACCTCTGCAGACTTTCTGAATCCAAATCTCTGGAGAAACTAGTTTTAACAGGCTTTTGGGATAGTTTCAAGACTTCTGTATCCAGGGACCAGCAGTTAGCATAATGGCTATGTTGCTGAACTCCCATGTAGTTGACTGCAGTTCAAGCCCTGGACCCAGTGGCTTAAACTCACGCTGGGCACGTGTGCATGCGTGCCCAAGATCCCGAGAGGAGACTGGAGGAGAAGGGATTGCGGCGTGGCCATCCCCCCTGGGGGGTGATTTCTCGCTTTCTGTCTCTCTGTCTCTCTGGTGAGCACATGTGCCTTGTAGCAAAATCCTCTCAAAAAAGAAAAAAAAAAAAAGACTTCTGTATCCCAGGAACTGTGTAAATGGAGGGTCCTGTGTAATTTGCACTGGCACCCAGAGGAAGTCTGATTTCTAAACGGGAGAGTTTTACCTGTTACCTGATGCATTCCTATGTAAATATGAATGTGGTGACCTTGAAAACACACCGCAGTTTTCCAGCTGACGTAAATAATGTGCATTCAGGGTAGAAAGTGAAGGAAGAAACCGAGATGTCCAAATTAAACTGGAATTCTCTATAAGCCTACTAGTCAGGGATAACTATGGTAACTTTAGGGTGTGTTCTTGCCTTATGTTGGTAACACAATTGGAGTTGTACTAACTTCATAATTCTCTTTTTTAAATTCCTTGGTAAAATGATGACGGGGCAGGCTTGGTGATATATCTATGTGTCTATGTCTATCAATCCACATGTGGTTGTCAGAAAAGCTATGACACATTTTTGCATAGGAAAGCATAGAAATACATGTCATAACTTTGCCAGTAACCATATAAATATATTGCCATAGGGCATGTGTGCTCGCTGAGGAGAGACAGAGACAGAGAAGGAAAGTGAGAAAGACTCTGGGGGATGGCCTCACTGCAGTTCCTTCTCCACTCTTCTCTTGGGAGTTTGGGCACACATGCCACACACAGCCAGTGTGATTTTCAAACTGCCAGGTACAGGACTTGAACTACAGTTGGCCATGTGGAACCCAGCACCTTAACCACCACGCCACCTGCTGGCCCCTTGGCCATCATTTTATGAGGAGCAAAGCCTGTTGCAGTGTGAGTGTTTAGAACTGGTCATCTGCTTGTCTACACAAGCCTGTCTGTCTGCTGGGTCCCCTGTCACATTCATAGACTGCTTCTGCTCTCTGTGGAGCAGGAGTTTTGAACCTAAATCCAGGAATGTGGCCTTTGGCCACACAACTATAAGCCTCTTCTGACTAGGGCCCTCATTCAGTTTCTGGCCTGTTCTTTTCTCTCCTGACCGAGTTCCTATCTTGTGCCCCTGTACCTAGGCCTCTCTTGGTTTCCTTCCATCCAGTTGGTCTTGTTAGCTGCCCTGCATCTGAGTAATGTAAACCTGGAACTCTGCCTTGGGATACAGGTCCTCCGAGCTGCTCAGAATCTCACAGTTAGAGACCACTGAGACCTACCTGCCTGGCTGCTGCCCTGTTCTACCGAGCTCTGCATGTAGGCCAGGCATGTTTCAGAGCCAGGTATTTATAGACCACGTGTTCCCCAGGACCCTGCCACATTGCTTTGTCTTTTACTATGTGTGTCTGTGTGGGAGCCCTGTCTCCCTGGCCACTGCTCTCTGCGTAGCGATTCCCAAGCTCTGGACTTGAGTCCAATTTTCACAGCCTCCTTTCTCAGGTTGGTCTTATTCTACACCTGTAGCAGTTGCAAATTTAATCTCAATTTTCCCTTCTGGAGTTGATTTTGCTCATAATCTGTTTTTTTGAGAGGTTTTGCTATAGGGCGCATGCATGCACCAGAAAGACAGACAGGGAGATAGGAAGTGAGAAATCACCCCCCGGGGGGATGGCCACGCCACAATCCCTTCTCCATTCTCCTCTCAGGATCCTCAGTACGCATGCACACACACCCGGCATGAGCTTAAACCACCGGGTCCGGGTGGGACTCGAACCGCAGTTGGCTACATGGGAGTTCAGTGACAGCCATTATGCCAACTGCTAGTCCCTGCTCATAATCTTGATGTATTGAGTCATCAGAAAAGTCATGGCACATTTTTTTGCATAGAAAAAACACATTATTACTTTTCTGATGACCCAATATATTGGGTAAATGATTATGTGGTTAGGCCTAGAGCATTATCAAAGGTCCCTCCCCAGGGTCCACCTGGTTTGTAGCATGGTGTCTGAACATAGATGCTTTCAGGAGTTTTAGTTGCAAGTAACAGAAGCCCATGTTCCTGATTTAAACCATCTGTTAACTGATACAGCAGAGAAGTGCAGGCGTGGTTCGGGCGTTCAGATGATTAATACCAGGCAGGTTTCCTACATCTCTTGGCTCTGCTTTCTCATGTGTCAGCTTCACCACATGCCACCAGTGGTTGCAGGCTTAGCTTCTGAAGTTCATTCCCTCCCTCAATAGAAAGAACATATTTTGAACCAGTAAATGGTGTATTGAGTCATCAGAACACTGGACTCCCAGGTAGCTGACTGTGGTTCGAGTTCCAGACCTGGAGGCTTAAATCTCAACTCTGGGCACATGAGCCTGAGTGCCCAGGATCCTGAGTGGAAAACGGAGGAGAAGGGATTGCGATATGACCATCCACCCCACGGTGTGGGGGTGAATTTTCGCTTTCTGTCTCTCTGGCGAGTGCACGTGCCCTATAGCAAAAATCTCTTTAAAAAAAAAAGAGAGAGAGAAAGAGTATCTTTTACCTGGAAGTCTGAGCCAGAGTCTCCAAACTAAATCCCACTGGCCAGCGTGGGTTCTGTGCCTATCCCTCCGAGCTGGGATTGGCTGCAGCTGAACCCTGTGGGCTGTGTGGCCGAGGGGTGATTCCCTAAAGGAACAGTGGAGTGATGTTACCAGGAAAGGGGAGAGAGCTTCTGTTTGAGCAGAAACCATAGTTTCGTGCTAGTCTGTCCCATTGCTGACAACAGAAAATACCCGCGTCTGGGTAATTTTAGAGAGCAGAGGTTTATTCAGCTCAGTTTTATGGTCCAAGGCCCAGTAGTGGTGGGGGTCTTGCTGAGTCCTGGGGCGTCATATGAGGGCGAGAATGGAGCGGATTGTGCCCATGAGTCTCTCTGTTCTGGTCTCTCTTCTAAAACCCACCACACCCAGCCATGGGAGCCCTGCCCTAATGACATTAATATCTCCTCCCAAGTATCCCTCCCTCCAGCACCATAATCAGATTAAGTTTTACCCTTTTTTTGGTGGGGGGGAGATTTTGTGTATATTATTTTGACTTAAAAAAAATTATTTTAGGGACCAGCAGTTAGCGTAATGGCTATGTCGCTGGACTCTCAATGTAGTAGACCATGGTTCGAGTCCCAGACCCGGTGGCTTAAACTCACGCTGGATGTGTGTGCGTGCATGCCCATGATCCCGAGAGGAGAATGGAGGAGAAGGGATTGTGGCGTGGCCATCCCCCCGGGGGGTGATTTCTCGCTTTCTGTCTCTATGTCTCTCTCTGTCTGTCTGGCAAGCGCACGCGCCCTATAGCAAAAAAAAAAAAGAAAAAAGAAAAAAATTTAATTTGCTATTTACATTTACAGTGAACAGCATGGCTTTTCCTAGCATGAATACAGTGCATATCAGTCAAGACAAAGACATTACCATATACATTATCATCAGCAAGTAGGTTTTCGTTTTGCGTAAACAAAACGAAACGTATTTTTTCCCTGTTCCTGTCCCCCTATTATCACCCTTGTGTTACTCCTATCCTTACTCTCTCTAGTATCTGCAGTTGCCCTCCCCGCTGCTATAGCTTCCAAACTTCCAGTGTCTGCTATAGAGTGCAGACATTCAGTATAGATTGAGCAGGAACGTACAAAGTCTGTCTGACTTGCTTCGCTTAGCATTAAGTCTTCCATATTTGTCCACGTTTTATCAAATGTCAGGGTCTCATTGTATTTTATAGCTGAGTAGTATTCCATAGAGTACATACACCACACTTTTTCAATCTACTCATCTATTTTTGGACATTTGGGTTGATTCCATGTCCTGGCAATTGTGAATAATGCTGCAATAAACATGGACGTGCAAGTGTTTCTGCAATTGAGGGTTTTCCTATCCTTTGGGTAAGTACCTAAGAGTGGAATAACTGGGTTGTATGGTAGTTCTAATTTACATTCCCACCAACAGTGTAGGAGAGTTCCCTTTTCACCACAGCCTCACTAGCACTTCTTATTAATTTTTTTTTTACTTTTAGCCATTATGACTAGGGTTAAGTGGTATCTCATTGTGGTTTTGATTCACATTTTCCTTATGATAAAAGATGTTGAACCTGTTTTCCTATGCATTTTGGCTGTTTGTATGTTTTCCTTGGAGAGTTGTCTATTTTTATTTTCCCATGTTTTAATTGGATTTTTTTGTTTGCTTTCTTGGTTTTTTTTTTTTTTTTTTTTTTGCAAGTAAGCTGCTTGAGTTCCCTAAGTTTTACCCTCTTAATCCCACCACAACCAGGTCTCAACTCATGCATTTTTGGAGGATACTCAGTCCATAGTAGGCAATGCCATGGTCCCTGATGAGTTGCAGGACTGAATTGGGAGAGACAGAATAGTCATGAGCCTGGACCGTAGTTCCTGTAGTAAATCCACCCAACAAACCACTCGATAGAGCCTTACTCATTCTCATCTTTGATCAGGTGAATCTGTATTCACTGCCTTCTTGCTTCTGCCCAGAGCCGTGCCAGACAACTACAAGGTGATTTTTGTGCAAGGAGGTGGATCCGGCCAGTTCAGTGCAGTTCCCTTGAACCTGATTGGCTTGAAAGCAGGACGGTGTGCCGACTATGTGGTGACAGGAGCTTGGTCAGCTAAGGCTGCAGAAGAAGCCAAGAAGTTTGGGGCTGTGAATGTCGTCCATCCCAAACTTGGGAGTTACACACGTAAGTGCTGAGCTGAGCTGGCCAGTGGAATGCTGACTGGTGGGTTAACCCAGCTTAGTGCAGTCATTGTTTTTTTTTTTTTTTTCTCTGCAGTTGTTTTTAAGTCTTTTCTCTCCTTGTCAATAGTTTGATACCATGTACACGGGGTGACTGGACTAGTAAAGACCACTAACTAGCTTTTTTTTGGGGGGGCAGGTTTTTGCTATAGGGCACATGTGCTCACCAGAAAGACAGAGAAAGACAGAGAGACAGAAAATGAGAAATCATTTCTGTGGCCACACCACAATCCCTTCTCCTCCATTCCCCTCTTGGGATCTTGGGCACGCACACACATGTGCCCGGCGTGAGTTTAAGCCACTGGGTCCAGGACTCAAACCATGGTCGACTACATGGGAGTCCAGCGACATAGCCATTATGCTAACTGCTGGTACCAGTCCTCTCTTTCTTGTAAGGTGGCTATGGCTGCTCTTGACCTTATATTCTTCCAAGTTTCAATGACTTTGCTGGAGCACCCCATTAACGGTCACATGTCTCTTGTGTCCCACCCTGAAGTCAGTCACTGTGACAGCTTGAGTCACAGTCTACCTCTGGGGTTGAGGGTTTACAAGTTCTGCAGGAACCACATGGGCTGAGTGTGGAAACTGGGGTCCCAGGGAAAAAAAACCATCAGTGGACATAGGATAGATAGATACCGGGTGACAAAAAACCAAACAAAACAACCTGAAATAGCCATGAGGAAGATTTGGAGATTGTTTGTGCTCACTAACAGTCAAAGGCTGGGATGGGATCGGTTGTGTCTCTAGGTTGTCAGTGGTGATGATAATGGAAGTTCGGTTGGGTGCTTTGTCTTGGAAAATGCTTTGGGATCAGTCTCTCACTGCTGGCTGAGTCAGTCAGTCTATCTAAGGAAAGGTAACAGGGCCAAGCCTCAAACTTGTCTTCTCTGATAGAAATTCCAGACCCGAGCACCTGGAGCCTCAGCCCGGACGCGTCCTATGTGTATTATTGCGCAAACGAGACCGTGCACGGTGTGGAGTTTGACTTTATACCGGACGTCAAGGGAGCAGTATTGGTGTGCGACATGTCCTCGAACTTCCTTTCAAAGCCAGTGGATGTTTCCAAGGTAGAGTGTGAAGGAGGCGGGGTGGCGGGAACCCAGTGACTCAGATGCTTTAGGGCATTTTTGTATCTACCAAGGGAAAGGCGGTGGAAGTCCTGGGGTAGCAGAGTCCCTGTGCTGGGGCTCTCAGGGACCACTGACAGTTGCCTCCTACCAGCTGCTGAGATGCTGAAGTCCTGCTGTCCTCAGCCCTGTGGTAACAATGGCCTCGGTCATACTCGAGTCCTTGGGGAGCTACTGACCTTGAAGAGTGACTCTTAGAACCTCTTCGGTCATCATACTTGGAGCAGCCTGGTCTCTTCAAGGGCAGATGCAGAATATCCACATACAGGAGACCTACGCGAACGAGGCTTCCCTTTCTTGGTACCCACTTTAACTCCAAAAACCTCAACAGGACCCACAGACTTTACAAGGCTCCTCAAGGCAGGATGGAGAAATGGAGAAGAGATTGCAGCGTGACCATGCCCCACTGAGGGATGCTTTCGCCTTCTCTCTGTGTTTCTCTTTGGCCAGCGCACATGTACTCTGGCAAAATAAATTTGAAAAAAAAATGAGGAGCCAGCCAGTGGTGTGGTGGATAAGGCATTGGGATCCCACATAGTTGATCACAGTTTGGGTCCTAGACCCCACAGCTTGAAAATCATGCCAGATGCATGTGTGTGTGCCCCAAATCCCAGGAATAGAATGGAGGAGAAGGGATTGCGGCGTGGTCATCCTTCCAGGGAGTGATTTTTCGCTTTCCTTTTCTCTGTCTCTCTTCATCTCTGGCAAGCGCATGTACCCTATGGCAAAACCTAAAAAAAAAAAGAAAAGAAAGAAAGAAAACGTCTGAATAATATTTCATGATATGGCTATACCATATTTGGTGTATAGTCTGCTTTTTTATTACCATTAGGACTGGCAGTTATAAACAATACCAGCTCTCCTTTCCCACCCGCCATCTGCGGTGGGACCGCCACCAAGATGCACATTTTCCTAAAAACCCTCACAGGGAAGACTATCACCCTTGAGGTTGAACCGTCGGATACAATAGAAAATGTAAAAGCCAAAATCCAGGATAAGGAAGGAATTCCTCCTGATCCAGCAAAGACTGATTTTTGCTGGCAAGCAGTTGGCAGATGGGTGTACTTTGCCTGACTACAACATCCAAAAGGAGTCCCTGCTTCATTTTGTGTTGAGACTTCATGGTGGTGCTAAGAAAAGAAAGAAGAAGTCTGAAACCACTCCCAAGAAGAAGAAGCATAAGAGAAAGAAGGTTAAGCTGGCTGTCCTGAAATACTACGAGGTGGATGACAATGGCAACATGAGCCGCCTTCGTTGGGAGTGCCCTTCAGATGAATGTGGTGCTGGGGTTTTTATGGCCAGCCATTTTGACAGACATTACTGTGACAAATGTTGTCTGACTTCCTGTTTCAACAACCCAGAAGACAAGTAATTGTTTATGAGTTAATAAAAGAAATGAACTAACTTTAAAAAAAAAATCAGGGGAACCAGCAGTTAGCGTAATGGCTATGTCTCTGGACTCCCACGTAGTCGACCGCGGTTTGTGTCCCGGACCCGGTGGCTTAAAACTCACGCTGGGCGTGTGTGCATGTGTGCCCAAGATCCTGAGAGGAGAATGGAGGAGAAGGGATTGCGGCGTGACCATCCCCACTGTGGGGTGATTTCTCGCTTTCTGTCTCTATGTCGCTCTCTGTCTGTCTGGTGATCGCATGCGCCCTATAGTGAAAACCTCTCAAAAAAAAAAAAAATCAGCTCTGAATTATATACCCTCCCTCCCCCCACCGCTCCTTAATTTTCCTTACCTTGCTGCAAGGTGACATGCGAGAAGGTCTTGTGTCTTGCACAGCAGATTTTCCTGAAGTACTTTTGAACATCTGTTATCTTCTAAAACTTTCTTAGGCATCTTGTCCCATTATGTCCCTTTGTCATAGCAGTTCCCATTTTAGCATCTCCAGATTGTCCTGTTACACAGAAATAAGTCGATCAAGTTTCCATTTCTTGCTTGCCAAGGACAGGGAGAGGTCCCATCTTTGAAGACTGGTGTGGCTGTAGAAGGGGATACAGAGCAAAGGTGGATATGAAAATGGACAAGGCCTTTACTCTGGGAGGCTTGGGTCAGCCCTTCCAGGTGAGGGCCAGGCAGAGAGATCTCCTTGGGCCTCGGGATTCTGAGGACTGGGTTGCTGTTTCAGGTGGAGATTCTTTTAGAGCAGGAAATGCCCCCCCAAAACAGGAATAGAGTTGCTTCCTTGTAAAAATCGTGCCCTAGGAAGAGGTTGGGAGGTTTGCATACATTTATGAAAAATGAGCAAATGCTTCTAAAACAGCACCTCTTTCTCTTTTCCAGTTTGGTGTGATTTTCGCTGGTGCCCAGAAGAACATTGGCTCTGCTGGGGTCACCGTGGTGATCGTCCGTGATGACCTGCTGGGATACGCCCTGAGAGAGTGCCCCTCTGTCCTGGAGTACAAGGTGCAGGCTGGAAACAGCTCCTTGTACAACACGCCTCCGTGTTTCAGGTAATCGGGGACGTGGCGTGGTGGGCCCACAACGGGAGGCCACAGGATTCCATCTCCCTATTTCCCATTAAAGCAGAGGTAACTTTTTAAAGTACAGCATGTGGAGTCAGGTGGTAGCACAGCTAGGCCCGTGTGGGAATGACCTAGGATTTGGGTCCAGGGACCTTCCTGAGCACACCATGTATGTGTGCCCATTGACCGAGATTGGGGTATATGACTGCGTGAAGATGTTGTTGGGGGTGCCTGTCTGTCTCTCTTTCCTTGCCTATCTCTGTTTCTCTCCCATAGAAGAACTCACTTTAAAAGGAGGTTACAGACAGTGGGTCAGAGGTGATGCAGCATTCTGGGAGGGTGACCCATGTGGGGAGGTTCTAGGTTTGCATCTGAAGACCTCCCTGAACACTTCAGGTGTGGGCACGTGTCCATGATCCAGGACTGGCTGCAGCTGGGGGCGGATTGTGGCATTGAGGCCCTGTTAGGGTGTTTCCCCCCACCCCACCCCCCTGTCTTTTTTGCTCATGGAAGAAAGAACAAAACTTGGAAGAAAAAGAAGTAGAGCCTGTTTCTGTGAGCCAGTGACCCTAATAGCCCCAAGTATTCTCTCAGATTCTCTGTCCAGCTCACTGCTCCTTCTTTCCCTTCTGTTCACTATTTAATTGGCTTTCTTCTTGCTTCCTTTTTGGTTTTTTTTTTTTTTTTTGGTTTGGATAATTCAGGCCCCAGTGGTTTACCATTAACCCAGAGTCTCCTTGTGGATGAAATCCTGTGACCTGCATCTCAAACAACCAGCACAGCTTTGGAGAAGAATTTCCACAGGGCAGTCCTCCCTTGCTTTCATTTCCCCTGCTGGGCTGTGTGAAGCTGGCTGGCTGACAGGGAGCACACTGGCTTGGAATACAGTTTTTTAAAACCCAGTGAGCCTGGTTCTGGTAGCCTGATCTCTTTTTCGTAGGCCTTCGAAGAGAGCGAGGTACCCTTCCCCATGGCCTCTTAACTCCCAGACTAGGGTTCTTTTGTGTTAATCTTTACTACACCTAAGGTTTAACAATCACCTGGAGATTTTACTACTTACTAGCAGTGTGACCATAAGCAAGTCACTTGATCCATCTGTGTAGCATAGCAGGTTCCTTCAGGAGTAATGGTAGTACCCTCCTCACTGGGTTACTGTGAGAATGCATATATATTTATGTGTCCTTTTGCCCTTTGCACCTAGAACGTAATGATTTACGAAGTGGCTGCGTCCCGGGTCTGGTGGGAGGCAAAAAAAGGAAGCTTTCTTCTTGCTTCCTTTTTGGTTTTTTTTTTTTTTTGGTTTGGATAATTCAGGCCCCAGTGGTTTACCATTAACCCAGAGTCTCCTTGTGGATGAAATCCTGTGACCTGCATCTCAAACAACCAGCACAGCTTTGGAGAAGAATTTCCACAGGGCAGTCCTCCCTTGCTTTCATTTCCCCTGCTGGGCTGTGTGAAGCTGGCTGGCTGACAGGGAGCACACTGGCTTGGAATACAGTTTTTTAAAACCCAGTGAGCCTGGTTCTGGTAGCCTGATCTCTTTTTCGTAGGCCTTCGAAGAGAGCGAGGTACCCTTCCCCATGGCCTCTTAACTCCCAGACTAGGGTTCTTTTGTGTTAATCTTTACTACACCTAAGGTTTAACAATCACCTGGAGATTTTACTACTTACTAGCAGTGTGACCATAAGCAAGTCACTTGATCCATCTGTGTAGCATAGCAGGTTCCTTCAGGAGTAATGGTAGTACCCTCCTCACTGGGTTACTGTGAGAATGCATATATATTTATGTGTCCTTTTGCCCTTTGCACCTAGAACGTAATGATTTACAAATGGTGGCTGCGATCTCATTTTTATTACTGTTCTTGTTGTTCCAAAAGCTGCAAAAGTTCCAAAAGCTTTTGCAGGGGTAGACATGAGGGAAGAGTCAGAGTTGGTGGGTTTATCTTTCTAGGGCAACCATGATGTAAAACAGTCATAATTTATGTTTCTGGCCCCTGCGACCCAGCCCCACCAGTCTAGGATGTAGGTATTATTATTATTATTAATTTCCATTTTTCAGGGAATATTTTTAGGAAGCAGCATGGCTGGGATTTGAACCCGGCAATGGTGGCTCCAGAACCTGGGTATGCACACCCACCACTTTACTGCTCTTCACAGGCCAAGTGATCAATTGTGCATTGGTCTGTGCTGGGAGACCTGCAGGAGAATAGCTGCTCTTGGAGTCCAGTTCTTCAGTCAAGGATCTGTCTGCGCTGGGTAGATGTTTTTTTAAACTTAAAGGGGGCTCAGGCTAGTATAGTTGGTCAGGCCTTGGGGGCCAGGACTTCTTCCGTACTCCTTGTCCTCGGGTGCAGCATGTAGAAACAGTCCTCCACATAACTTGCCATGGGAAAGAAAGGAGTTTCAAAGTTAGAATTCTGATGGAAATTTCCACTGGATGTCTGCATAGATGCAGAGCATCTCGTCATTTTGTGTTCCCCCAATTTCCTCAGAGAGTAGAGGGTGTCCTGGGACCAACTTCTGGTCACCTGTGAACCCCACTCTCTTTACTCTGGATGCAAAAGTTTCTGAAATGCATGTTAGGAGTGGGAGTGGGGCTGGATCTGCTTTCCCACTTGTGCATCTAAGCTCTACGGTTCCAGGCAATGTGGAGACCCCAGCGGCTCCAGACTCACTGGGAAATGGGAACCGGGCAGGCTGAGCAGCAAAGAGAACTCAAGTCAGGGCTGCTGGTTGCAGGAGGAGGAAAGAGGTGGCCCAATGGGACTTGCGTGGGAGGATCCTGGGTTTCTGTCCCAGGACCTCTCTGAACACCCCCATGCCCATGATATGGCCAGCTTAGATCCAGGCTGGATCATGCCATGGGGACCCTGTCAGGGTGCCTGTGTCTATGTATTTCTCTGTCTCTCTTATGGAAAAAATAAATAAATAGACGTTTGAAAATGTAATGAGTAGGCTAACATGCTGTTTGTTATTATAAGGGTAAAAACAAATCTATGGGAATGACACAGGAGTGCAGGGTGATCAGACCCAACACCTGCGCTGGTTCTTGTCTGAAACTCATGAAGAATTAAAGATGCAGACACAGAGAGGGGATAGCAAAGCAGAGTTAAGAGAGGGAAGGAAGAGCAGAGCTCCCAAGCATGGAGTGGTCCCGAATGAGTTGCCAAAGAAGAGCTGGAGTTGAGGGTTATTTTTTGTTTGTTTTTGTTTTTTCTAGTAGTCTGAGTGATGGGCCGGCTTTCTGATGAGGAAGTAGGCTTTATATAGTAGTTACATGGTAGTCTTGAGTGATTAATTACTCAGTTCTTTGTGTGGTCAGCAAATCATAGTGTTCTGTACTTGTTAGTATATAGTTATGGGGCCAGGAGGTAGCGTGGAGATTAAGGCACTGGATCCCACATGGTCAGCAGCACAGTTTGAGTCTCAGATCCAGTAGCTTAAATCATGTTAGACACAGGTCTGTGCATGCCCAAAATCCTGAGAGGAGGCAGGAGAAAGGATTGCAGCGTGGCCATCTTCCCAGGGGGTGATTTCTCACTCCCCACCCCCCTCTGGCGAGTGTGCAGGCCCTGTAGCCAAAAACTTTTTAAAAAATTAAGAAAAAAAAAAAAAAAGGGAGTCCAGCAGGTGGAATGGTGGTTAAGGTGCTAGATTCCCACATGGCTGACCACAGCTCGAATCCCAGACCTGGCGGCTGCTTTCTCTCTCACTCTGTCTCACTGGTGAAATGGAATAATAATAATAATAATAATAATAATAATAAACAAATAAAGTTAGATAAATAATTCTTTGAAGAAAAGAAGATAGAAAAAAACAAAAAAATATATAGTTACTAAATAGAAACTGTTGCCCTTAGCTGTGGTTGCTTTGAGTCCCAGTGCAGCCAGGTTTTGGTTGTGAAAATTTAGCCACTGTGACTCCATCTTGGGCCTTACTCTGTGTGCTCAGTACCCTTATCTTCTGCCTTATTAGCAAAAAGCCACATATTCCTTAGAGACATGTAAAAGAAGGGTATATTGTACATTCACCAGATGATGGAAGAAACACAAAGAGATTTCATTAAAAAGAAAAACATATCTTTGATTGGACTAACATGTAGTATACTCATGTCTAGAAAGTCCATATTGAACGCTGTAAAGATGTACGGTAATTGAATGTAAAAAAAAAAAAAAAGAAATATAAAAAGAAAAAGAAAACGTAGTGACATCCTTTCAGGACCCTTACTCTATCTACCTGTAAGTGGGGTCTAACTCCTGTCTCAGGAACAGTGAGAAGAGGCCAGTCTGCTTAATGGGAGATGTAGGTGGCTGGAGTCTGACCTAGAGGCATAGAAAGAAGAGTGACTCCCAGCTCAGCCCCTCTGCGGTCTGGGTCCCAGACCTGACAAGGTACAGAGGGCCAGCACTCCCCTCTCTTGGCTGAGGAGGGGGCTGAGCAAGAAAAAGGGCAGAAAAGGCAAAGTTCCTTCCTGCACTGATCAGAACCGAGCTAGTTGACACTGCCTTAGGGCGACTCTGGGTGGTTAATAATATGATTAGAATCTTGTAAATATAGGAGGTGAAAGACACCAGATTGTATTCTGACCCCAAGATAACCCATGGAAATTGCTTTGCTTTTTTTTTTTCTTCTTTCTCTTCCCCAAAAGAAGAGAACTATCAGTTATAGGTCTGTGTGATTGGAGAATAAACATAATCTATGACTTTTGAGGTACTGGGGTTCACTTGCAGTGTTTAAACATTCAAGGCTAGAAAACTGTAGCCCACCCGGGAAACAATCTTCAAATGGAGACACAAAGAGTTATCTAAAATACCCCGGCGACACCTCCGCCCCCACCCGGTCCTTGAATAAGGGCTGATAAGGCACCCAGAACCCTTCAGGACTTTATACCACAGAGTGGACGTCCTTGAAAAGTCCCAAGTCTGAAGGATGCTCTGGGGTTTTTGTTTTTTTGTTTCTCTGTCAGAGTTGAATGACCCCAGTCCCTGG